AATGAAGAAAAAAAAAAAAACTTTGTTTTAATAATTACGTTTTTTAAATATTTACAACTTTACCAGATTTTTTAAAAAAAAGATACAAAAAAAAAAAAAACGATTAAGTAGAAGGTCTATCCATTTTTGTAACAATTATGGGTTTTCAAAGCTGGTCATTTTTATTGATCGTATATGAATGGAATAGTTATGTCAAGAAGACATGAGATATTAACAAAAAGAGATTATATCATTATTAATTTGTCTTCTTCTTCTATATTTTGAGGGCCCACGATCAATGAATTTATCATTCTGGCTCCTATGTTTCAGTGGGGTTCGCGATGTAACTGTGGATGGTTTTGAAGGGGCTACTTCACTGGTTGCAAGGGCTACTCAGCAGTGGTGATTTAATCTGAAGGAAAACGTATACAAATAAAATATACATTTCCCAACATCAGATGATGGAAATGTTTATTTGGAATTTCAAACTGCTATAACTTTCTTCAGATAAATTACACACTGTCTCCTTAGTTCACAAAAACTTTTTTTTTTTTAAGTTTTCTTCTTGGATAAGACTCGCCACATGCTCTTGTAACTTAATTTCTCACTGAGATAAGTCTGCAAAAAAAAAGAATTCTGGCTAACTTGAAGAGAATATAATACTTATGGTGTCACCCCCCCCTCTCCAGACTACCCCACCCCCATAGACCTCTTCCGAGTCCTGCTGGTACCCTATTCTGTTGCTGTCCGCATCCTGTAATGACACCGGTGCTTTGGACTAGGTATAAAATATATGAATTTGACATTTTAATTTTTTTAAAACATGAAACGAACCCCTCCAACAGCCTAACACGCCCTATTAAACAGTCTAACACACCCCGTACAACAACATAACAAACCCCGTACAACAATCTATCACACCCTGTACAACAATCTAACACACCCCGTTCAACATCTAGCACGCCCTGTACAACAATCTAACACACCCCGTACAACAATCTAACACACCCCGTACAACAGTCTAACACACCCCGTACAACAGTCTAACACACCCTGCGCAACAGTCTAACACACCCTGCGCAACAGTCTAACAC